AAAGGGCCCCGGGGAAAAAAAAATTTTGGGGGGATTAAAAAAAAGGGTTTTTTTTGCCCCCCCCACCGGGGGTGTTTTGGGGGGGGGGGGGAAAAAAAGGGGGGGGGAGTTTTGGGGTAGGTTTTAAAAATTAATAGAAATTTTTTGGGATAAAGGGTTTTTTTTTTTTGGGGGTTTTTTTGGGTTTGTTTTTGGGGGCGATTTTTTTTCAGGGGCCTTTTCCCCTTTTCCATTTTGGGGCCGGGGGGGGAGCCGGGTGCCCCCCATTTTGGGGCATTAGGCCGGTTTTTGCCCGGGGGGGGGGTTTAGGTTTGGGGAAAATTGGGGGGGGGAAACTTACCTTTTTTGGGGGGGAAAACCTACCCTTTTTCCTTTAAAATTGGTTTTTTTTAAAAAGTTTTTTTTAAATGGGTAACAAGGGGTGGGGTTTTTTTTTTTTTTGAAGGCCCCCCCCCCCCCCCCCCCCAGTCGGTATCCGCCTACTGGTTTCCAACGACACACCAAAACAACCTTGCATCCCCCTCCCCTCCCCATGTTTGTTTTCTATTTTGCGTGTCTTCCCTGCCCCGTCTTGTTCTTTATGCGGAAGTTTTGTCGTGATGGTGGTGGCCTCTAAGTCTCCCACGAACAGCCTGCTGCTGACTAACCAGCAGACGGGCACCGTGCAGCCGGGAGAGTCCGTGGAAGTCTCGTTCTCTTTCCACGCGACGTCGATCGGGCGCTGGACGCACGACCTGGCCGTCCGTAACCTTGGCAACAAGCACGATCAGGCACGTGGTTTTGCGCGGTGTTGGTGGCAATTATTTGCTGTATATATTTATATATCCCCCAGTTCTCTGCGTTGTGCGTGTGGAGTGGTGGACGCACGATCAGATGTGGAGCGGCTGGACTGGCCAGCTTTGGTGGCGTGTCGCTCATGTGTAACCCACGTTGTTGCCAGACTGTGTTGCAGTACTGTGTAACGACAGACGGAGAGAGAGACGCAGACAGGCAGGCAGGCAGGCAGGCAGGCAGGCAGGCAGAAGTGAGAGGCTGTGTTTCTTGCCTCTCGTTCGTGTGATGGCAGTAGTGACGAGGAGCGCAGCTCGGTGGGGTGTGGGGGATAGAGGCTCCTTAGAAAAACTCGAGGGAATGTTCTCCCGCCGCCGTGTTGTAACACTATCCCCCGTTCCTGCTTCTTGTGCACGCCCCCCCCCCCCCCCCCCCCCCGCTCGGT